CTTGTTTATTTTCTCGTTCTTCTTGTTTCTTTTCTTTATCCTCCAACAACTGCTGTAATATCTTTTCTTGTTTATTTTGCTGTTCGAGCTGCCACTGTTGCAAGTTTTCTTGCTACTGATGTTGTCTCTTTTCTTGTTTATTTTCTCGTTCTTCTTGTTTCTTTTTCTGTTCTTGTATTGCTCCCATCAAATCTGCTAAGTTAAAGTTTGATTTCCTACTTCTCGTTTCCATCTTTTTTTTCTCTCTTCTCTATCCCACTTCTGACACCAATTTGTTAGGTATCTGCTTGTTTGATAATTTCCGGTAAAAATTATTTCCGAGTGACTTCAGTGATACAAGTTCCTTCTTCATTAAAACTAGTTTATTCTTTCTCGTTACAACTTTGTAATACATTTAATTTCCAATTAGTACGTTATACTTAATTACTTTTATAAACACATGCTATAATTCACAGCGATCCACACACTTTACTTACGGTGCCTACTGCTTGCTTGACTCAATTATTTTTCTCTTCAATCTATCTCCGGCTTATATACTAAAAAAGAGGGCGTCTAGCAAACTCTGGGACATTCATGAGGTTCCCCTATAAGTCACGATCCTTCTAGAAACTCCAGCGCGCATGCTCCCATCGTCACGAGACTTCCGCTGTCGTAACAGTATATTATGAAAGCCTACATTTTCGACGTTGACTATTGATCGAACCAACGAATTTCCCCTGAAGCATTCTTGGATCCGTTTTAGATGGTTAAATCATAAATATGCTTTGTTTGTTTGTTTGAAGTTAAGCACAAAGCTACACAAGGGGCTATCTGTGCTCTGCCCACCACGGGTGTCGAAACCAGGTTTCTAGCAATGTAAGTCCGTAGACATACTGCTGTGCCACTGGGTGGCCACAAATATGCATTTTAAAATCACAAAATATATATTGTTCTTACATCTGTTCCCATTTTACAGACAAAACCCCGCCCATCAAAAAAATCTATATCTTTGTCTGATTGTGATGAAAACTTGAAATTGATTTCTAATTTGTCTTCTGTAAAAACTTATCAGGTTAGTTGTCGTTAGTAATTATTGCCATTTCCTGAAACAATATTAATTTGATGATAGCTTGGTAGATTTAAAGCCTAAATAGCCACTTTATTTGCTTGTATTATGAACTAGTTTGAGTAGTCCAACTGGAAGTCTTCAGCTCCAGGTCTTGTAGACCCTTAACCAGGCCCTACTTATAATTCAAATTATGATAACCCACATGCATTTTCTTGCATTTATTATAATTAAAACTCATCTGCTATCTATTTGCCTAACTCACTAAATGATCTAAGTCCTTTTCTAAAGTAGCAGCAGCATCTTTAGAGCTAGCAACACCCAAGACCTTAATATCATCAGCAAATCTACGCCCTTACCTTCATCTACAGAAGCATAAACCATTTCCTATGTTTGTATTTTATCCTGTTTTAAATCCTAGGTATTGTAAATATATTCTGAAACATAAACATCACAATATAACAACAAGGGGCAGCTCGAAGTCATATGGAATAGGTTTGTTCATATACAACCAGATGTAAAGTATAGAGCTGGTTGTTATCTTGTTTTAAGTCCTAGGTATTGTAAATATTGTTGCGTCAGCGAGGTCACGTGACTAGTATCACGCCACCTGTTTCTAGAAATATCCTGTTCCTTCATGAATGCCCTAGCATTTACTAGATATGTGTTAGTGTTGTATATATATAAGACGGTCACAACGTGACGGGGGAACAGAGGTAATGAGTAATTGAACTGCAGTCAGAGAGAATATTGTTAAGCACGTGAGAATTATAGCGTTTGTTACAGAGCGACTGTTGAAATTAAGTGTATCGTAAAGTTGTATTCGGAAAGAATAAACCAGTTTTATTTAAGGAAAGACTTGTATCGCTAAAATTTCGTCGGAACGAATTTACGGAAAATTAACTAACGACTGGAGGCGTAACAATACTATATAATAATTCAATATATGCTATGCACAAAGCTAATTGAAATAAGTACTTCATCGTCAAAGTCGTGTTTGATAATTTTGAAATTACTCCGAAGTTTCTATTCAAATTACAGATTATTTGACAGTTTTGCTGCAAAATAAAAAAATGGTTTGCTGCTAATACAAAATTATATTTGAAAGTCTGGTTAAGAGAAATAATATTTGACCAGTCTAAAACATTACACAGCGATTCATACTATAAATAACAATAAAAATTACCCAACTCTACATTTAAAATGAAATATAAAACGTAAACAGATTTATGAATGAATATAAATATATATCATAAACCTAAAATATGTTTGCAAGTATAAGCATCCACAAAATTTCAAGGGAAAGAGATGAGGCAAACAATACAGGAAGTTATGGTGACTCATTAGTGCTTTCCAGCATAAAGAAGATCAAAATATTCTAGACGCTGCTTAACGAAACCTAAAGAAGTGTTCGTTCGAGACCACTTCTAAATGTAGCATTCTTAACCCTTTCACTGCTCAAGTGGAGTGGGACCCCAATAAAAAATTTAAGTGTTAACTTATGAAATTATAGTAATGAATGAATGCCAAAAAGTCGTATAATGACCTCTGTATAGGCCTGATGTTGTCCCGAGTGAGGATAGGGGAGTCAGTCTGTTCCTGGACGACCTCACTCACCGCGAGAGAACGACCAGGACTTGTTTTTTTTAACAAATATCATAATCGTACTCCTCTCTCACCTCACGCACTGGTACAACTTTGGTGATGAATAACATGACTATTATGGCACTTGTGTATAAAGTTAAAATCATAAATAATATTCAACGTTAAACTGGTACACAGTT